GCCAAATTTGGCAGCAACTACAGGAGTAACTGAAGTGTGTTGGGTGTTTTCCCTGTTTTCCCTATTCCCTGTTGGGAACATTCTCCTTTGCTTGCTCCTGTTGAGCAGGTTTTGGGCTCCACCCCAGCAACGGCAGCAACGACCCCACAAATGCTGGTTGTAAAGCGCTTTAAGATCCTTTTTGGGGGAAAAGCTGGATGGGGACAGGTCAGTGGGTTGGACCCACAGATGAGAGGTGCATTTGGGAACCAGGGATCATGGGTTTGGGGAGAAGAAGGAACTAACTGACCTCTTGGGATCCCCTCTGTCCTCTAGAGCTCTGTGTCCTGGCTGGCCATGCATGGATTTATGGATGGATTAACATCCTCTCAAACCCCCAGCTCCAATGATGGAAATAAAAATTAAAAGCTGTGGTTTTGTCTCCTTTGGAGGATATTATGACAGCAATAACAGTTGTTGTCTGGGCTATTATAATCCAAGTTACACCAAGTGGAACTGATGAGGTAGAAATGAAGATGGGCTTTGTTCCCTGCATTAGACATGGAGTCAGTGAATCCCTGGATTATGTGTTATCTGGGATAAAACCTGGCTTGGTCCCTGCTGCTGCTTTGATCCTTGGGATAAAGATGTTCTAGCACAGTTGCCCATGTGGTCTGAGCTGTAAATGAAGTGCTCTGAGAACATGAACAAAGAGAGAAACCAGGAATACTCTTGAGCTCCTGAAACTGGGAATGCTCTTAGATACATGGACATGGAATGTTTTAACAACCTTGCCAATGTCCAGTGGGCAAGGAAACGGAGGGAGAAGGTTGGGAGAGCAGGAGTGTGGTGGCAGGGGTGGGGGCTGGCCCTGTATGGTGGCAGTGCCTCCAGGAGGGGTCTGCAGGCCCTGTGTGTGTCCCAAATTTGGGCTCTGCTGTCCAAGCACATCCCCCTGAGCCCCTTTGGCTCCCTGCAGAGGGGCCTGAGCCCTTTCAGAGCCAAAAGCCCCCCATTTTATTCCCAGTGGTTCATGCCCAGGGCTTGGCTCCAGCTCCACGTGCAGACACCACGTGGTGTTTCCAGCACAGGGAGAATTTTCCCCCTCAGCTCTTGTCTGGGTCCTGCTGTTTTCCAGGAGAAGATGTGACCAGACCCTGAAGGGAAGCAGATCTGGGGCTCAGGGGTTGGGAGTCAGCCCCCTGCTCTATTCCCAGCTCTCCAGGTATGGTTTCCCAAAGGCCAAATTCCCAGATGTGGTGACACCTTTCATCCCTCCCATCCCACGCTCTCTGTGCCAGCAAGAATCCCAGAATCCTACAGTGCTTTGGGTTGGAAGGGACCTTAAGGATCACCCAGTGCCACCCCCTGCCATGGGCAGGGACACCTTCCACTCTCCCAGGTTGCTCCAACCTGGCCTTGGACGCTTCCAGGGATGGGAGATGCAAGAGGAGCTCTGAGGAATGGATGCTGTGGGTCCAGAGGGGTATTTAGGGGTCTCCGTCCCTTGGCAGAGGGGGGTAGAAAGGCAGGGAAGACCAACCAGAGTCAGGAGGGTGAAGGGGGATTTTTGGCTCCCTGGGAACAGCAGCAGGGGCAGGTTGGAGGAATCAGCCTGGGATGGCTGGGGTTCCCTTCAACTGCTTTATCCTTCATGGATATTTGGGGTTGGAGTGCCAAATTCCCTGAGGAAACCATTACTACCTCAAAATATTGCCATCTAAATCTGAGCTGGGTGGGAAATAGGGGCAGAAAACCCCAGAGGGTTTCCCAAGGGGGACCAATCTCTTCCTGGAGATTCCCCTCCTCCCGTTTGCTACAGAGGGTCTGGAAAACTCCTCTGTGGGGAAGAGGAGGAGGTTCAAACACCCCACCCACCATCCCCCAGGAAGTTTGACCTGGGGTCAAACGACGCTAAGACAGCCCAAATCCCGGACGGAACCGCTCCTGGAATTGCCACCCCAACCTGATCCTGTGGGAGAGCCCGAGGCTTTTTCCCTTAGGTAAAACCAGAGCCGCCTACCTGAAGTATCCCAGGATAAGGACAGCAACTGTGAGGGATCCCAGAGAGATGGAGTATCCAACAGTATAAATCAAATAGAGGCGATCAAAGACCTCCTGCAGCAGAAACGATGGAAAAAATAGCGTCACATTAGAACGCGGCCTCCTGACGGGGGGACACGGGCACTGGGACACCCCCGGGGCTGGGAATCCTCGGGAATCACAGCCTTGGAGCACCCTGGGAAGGGCTGGCTGTGTTTCCTGACGGGATTTCCTGACGGGGTTTCCTGGGAGGGCGGGATTTTCGCGTGGGTTAATCCCTCGCCTGGGAGTTCCCCGCAGCGTTTTCATCCCAAAGGAACCCAAAGCGCTTTACAAACTCTCGGCCCCATCCAGAGATCGCTTGGATCTCCACGAGGACAGAACCTTGGCTTGGACAGAACGCCCATGAACCCGGGATTTGGGCTGGAATTGTACAATTTAGCCATTGCTGACTGATGCTGGTCCAGCCCACCCCACTAAACATGGGCAGGATAAACTTTGGCTCTGGGATACGAGGAAAAAAAAAATCACCTGCATTTATTTTTCCCCTTTTTCCAATCCAAAGCAGCCTCTGCCTGTGGTTATCCAACCCAGACACAACCTGAGCTTGCCAAGGGCCCCTTGGAAAAGCTCCTGTCACAGGAGAGCTCGTAGGAATTAATCCTCTGAGAGGTTTTAGTTCTCTTGGCTCTCTGTGTTTTAAAGCTGGGCTTAGAAACCCTGAGGTTTCCATTAAATATCAAGATGTTTTCCCTTCATCCTGTGCTGGGACGTGCAGCTGAACTCAGGGATTCCTGAATATCCACCTGGAAAGGGTTAAAATTCCTGCCACCAGCCCAGTTTGTTCTGCCTTGAACTGCCTGAAATTAGAAATAAACCCCAAAGAAACCTAGCAATTCAGCATCTTTCTCCCTCCTCCTTTGCCTCCCGCCTTTCCCTCACCCCACCCACCAGGATGCAGGAACACTGGGCTCGGAATGACAGCCCTGGTTGGGATTGGAGGCTTGAAATGCTGGCCTGGAATGGGAAACCTCAGCCCCATGACATCAGAATCCCCAGATATGGGAATGTTTCTCTGTGGTTTCCATTGGCGGAGTGGAGTGTTTGCCAATATTAATTTAGTG